GACTCCATTAACAGTAGATTTACTAGGGAGTTTGGAAAGAATTTCCTTGTACAGAGGCTGGTGAGAATGTGGAACTCACTACAGAAGCTGTGGTTGAAGCAAAAAGTATCAAAGTATTTAAGAGGAAACTTGATACATATTGTATATGAGGGACAAGAGAATATAGTAGTAGCAGAGGGGAACGGAGGAATGGGGGCGCGTGTGGAGTATAAATACCAGCTTAGAGCAGTTGGTATATGAATGTGTGGTATAAAATCAACATGCCTCTGTATCTGCCTCCTTCTCACTGACAGAACCTTCAACGAAACATACCTAACATACTGTAGTGCTTGGGCTATTTAAAAAAGTGAGAAAAATGCACATCAACCATACAACATGCATGCCGGCACATACATTGTTAGGGGAGACATAATTTAAACACTTTCTTTCTCTTGAAAACTTTTACATTATTTAAGAAGAGCATTACATTTTTTTCCACAGATTAATTCTACCATAAGTGATAAATCTAACAGGTCCCTGACAATACTGCTGTTTATTCCATTCAGGTGTCAGCCTGGCTCAGTTATTAGCAGTGCCACCTGACAATCAGAAGATTGTGGATATAAACCCTACATAGAGACTTTGAACTCACTGTCCGGGCTGATACTTAAACATAGTGCTGGAGGAGCAATACAACGTTGAAGCTCTGCAGCTTGTGTACTCTCACGCACCAGGCTTCCACCCTCGCCCGACTCCACTGGCTCCCCATCCCTCAGAGGATCGAGTTCAAGATCCTCGTCCTCACTTTCAAGGCCATCCATGGCCTTGCCCCCTCCTACCTCTCTGACCTGCTGATTCCCTACCAACCTGCCCGCTGCTCCCTCCATTCAGCGGGCTCCAGCCTGCTCCAAGTCTCCCACCTGACCCGCCCTACCATCGGTCTCTCTGGCCCCACACTCTGGAACTCCATCCCACAGTCCCTTCACCTTGCTTCCTCCCTTGCCTCTTGCAAGGCCAGTCTCAAGACCCTCCTCTTCAATCGTGCCTTCAGTCACCCTCCCACCTCTGCCTTCCCTCACCCCTACCCCACCCCTCCCCCATGCTTGGGGGACCCCTGACCCCTGACTGTCGAATGCTTTGGGATGTCCTCCCGATGTGAAAGGCGCTCTATAAATGTAATTTGTTGCTGTTGTTATTGAATTGAGATTGGCCTTGTTCTTGTTGTTGTTTCTTAAACCAAGGTTCCATTTGCCTGTTCAGGTGAATGTTAAATATCCCATGGCATCCTGGTAAACAATCCTCCAAATAAAATTGGTCATTCATCTCATGTCTGTTTGTGGGACAATGCTGTGTGCAAATTGGGTGGGAAATTCAAGTGGTGCTATTGTTGCATTAACATAGGTACGAAGCGCAGTGTGAGCCCAAGAGCCTTGTGTAACATAGCTTTCAGCTCATTTAAAATAAAACAATGCCACAAAAGCAACGCATAAGCAATGAGCGTGGAAAGTGAGCACAGTGGAAATGACTGCTTTTGAAGTTGTTCAATTCAAGAATACACCCATTTTCGTTGTATTCATTAACTGTTTCAAAAACAACAAATAAAATGTCTGCTTCACATCCTTTTTTTATTCCCCAACCATATTTGAAAGGTAATGAAAATAAAGTTAAGCAGCACAAAGTTCAAAAGCACAAGGTGGAAGGAGGGGATTGTGGATGACCCGAATATGCTGCATTTTCAGGTCATCCACACTTTACTGGAAACAAAAAAGCTAATCCTATATAGGTGTTAAGACAGCAAGTTTGGCAATAAAGTGCATCATAACATGCAGTATAAACAGGGATCCGAGTATCGTGAATTCTGCTGGAGACCCCGGTGGTATATTGGATAGAGCTGCAGTTTATGGACCAGGAGCTCATTTGGTTCGAAACCCAGTCTGTGCTGAGTTTGCTGACCTTAGCTGGGGCTGCATGGGAATGCTAAACTGGCTCCAATTTAGGGAGGAGAAATCCAGCCATGGTTCTTGTTACTGGTCTCTCTACCGTACCCTCTGCTGATTATGCCCCTTTGGGAGAATCAGGGTTGGGTGTGGACACTGTCTACAGTTAGGTAGGCTGCTAACACTCACCACCAAGGCTCACATGTAAACAACGGTCACTTCGATAGGGTACCAGAAGGCACCCAATGACTATGGGCTTGCAACCCAGGAAGAGGCTGGACCAGAAGAGCACATGCAAGTGGGAGAAAATTGATAAACAATTAGATGCACCCTTGCAATTTGTTTAAAAAAAACAACTGCTGAAGTTTCTATCCAGATTGGACCCGGGTTTGATTCCCAGGCAGGGCAAAAGCCTAGGCAAGTTTCCTTATTCCACATGCCTCTGTTTACCCAGCAGTAAATAGGAACCTGGTCGTTAGGCGACTGGCAGATCACTTTACTCAATCTTGATTGAATGCGACTAGGGTGGATGTATGACTTATAATAATAATAATAATAATAATCCTTGCATTTGATATAGCGCTTTTCACGTCGAGAGGACGTCCCAAAGCGCTTCACAGAACACATTGTAAAGTGAATTGACTGTATATTTGTGGGCGAACGCGGCAGCCAATTGCGCACAGCAATGTCCCACAAACAGTCGTAGATTGAAAATGACCAATTTATTATTGTTTTTGGTTTTGGAGGGTTTATTATTAGGCTCTGTGTGGAGTAAGGAAACTTGCCCAAGGTTTCGCTCTGCCTGGAGTTGAACTCAGGTCTCTCGCTTGCAAAGCGAGTGCTCTAACCACTGAGCTACAGGACTTAAGTGATTATACGATTTATAAAGATAAGATATGTGCAAGTATTACTATAGAATCAAGTATATAGCAGGAAATTTGAAGCTTACATGAGGGAGAACGGAATAGAGGAGTGTAGGAGAGGGAGGCTCATGTGGAGTATGAACATTGGCACGGACCAGTTGGGTCAAACATGCTGTAACATTCACTGTAATTCTATGCAAGGTCTCACTTTCAAAATGCTGCAACGATCAGATCAAATAAAAATCACCAAAACATTTGAGAAATGGACATGACTGTGCACAGCTTTAAAAAGTATTCATCAGAAGGCGTTTGACAAACTGGATCTTTTTCTTTTCATTGACCTAACTCAAATCAATTAAATATTCAGTCTGTTACCTGCTCATTTTACATTGAGATTGGGATCTGAATTCCTCAAATTCTCAGTGGGAGGCTTAGGAGTCAGGATGGAAAGGATTTTCTTTCCTTTGGGAAGACTTCCACAGCAGCGTTCATCAAACCTGCTGAGCCTGACCTAATCATACTTCAAGTTAAAGTGGGATACAATTTTGTGCATTTTGCAACGTCTGGCTACATGGCTGTAAATGATGCACAACCAGAATGTTTAATAGAGCGTCAGGTTAAGTGACACCATAGTCACATGCAATAGAACAACTGCAGGGTGTGAGAGAGGCACTTGAGGATCATGTTTTATTGTTGCAGTATCTTCAGCGGTTAAGAGGCTCCAGGGATCGAAATTCCTCACAATGTTAGACTGGAGACTATTGTTTTGTGCTCGCTCACAACATTTTTTAAAAATAAATATTAATTTGGAAGCTACTATTCCCCAGCACCCAGAAAACTGCTGCCAAATCAGGGCAGTTTTTAAAAAATTCTGTACCATCTTAAATTTTAAAGCAATTTTCTTTAAAGCTAGGAATAAGAGATATTTAAGACCTCTGTATTTTTACAATTAGCCAAATCATAAAAAGTGAAAAACACAAACAAAATGGATTTGCTTTATTCTGATTCTGCTACACATTTTGATTTTGACAAACTTAAGCCAACTCTTTTTGGCAATTAGCCTTGGTATGCAGTGCGAGGGATGCGTTTGCTTTGTATTGGCAACAAGTTGAGTTTAGGATGGGAGTAAACAGGCTACTGCAACAAAGCTCAAAAAGTGCTTGGAACCAAATATCGAAGTTTAAGCAAGGGTCAAGTCCTCTCGTGTGTTAGAGATTCGGCTATAAAAAGCCAAAATTCTTCGAAGTTGATTATGTGGCATGACAACAAGGCAAGGTCAGAGAAGCGAGATCATCTATCTTTCAAAGCTGATCTTAGTCACTGAGAGCAAAGATCTAAAGTGTGCTGGGGGCAAGAGCAATTCCTGAGCTGTTCTGTAGCCCACTGCTTGCTGGTACCTTCCCTAATTTAGATGGTGCCACTGTTTACAATTTTTGATCACCAAAATTTTTTGTTCAGAACGTTGTTGGTTCAAACCCCAAATCAGGACTTCAATCTCGTAGTATAGGCTGAACGTGCTGACTGAAACATTTTTTGGGGGCTTTTATAATATGCCTATTGGTTACATTACAGAACCTTTGAATGTATCAAATGAGAAAAAAACATTCAGTCATTAAACCTGTTCCTTTCACAGACCAAGTACAATCTACACATCAATAGTCTCAATTGCATCCATTTAATCTTGAGAAAAATTCTGCATAAACACTCCTGAGTTCTCTCTCCCCTTCTTCGCTATGATAATCCAACAAAATGTTGCCATATTCATTCATTCCCACATCTGTATTAATGAACACTGGCTTGTTGCTCTGCCACTTCAGACACCAGCAGTTCACAAACCATCATGTGCTGATAACAGTGTAGGATTATTTAGTTTTTTTTAAAAGAACCAGTCAGATGGACCTTAATCTTATCTTCTGGTCATAGACATTTTTCTGTGAAGCGTTTAATCGTAATCTGTCCAGTGCCTCAAGTGGGATAAATGTGAAGAGTGGGAAGGCTTTGTAAATTTATCCCCCCCTCCCCAGGGGCACTGACACCAATTATGATACCACTATTGCCATAACAGCAGAGATCATAGCATTTAAAATAGATCTGGGATTGAACTAGGACCTTTCTGATCTCAACAACTCAGTTGCACCTGTGACAGTACCTTTAGAAACAGATCTTTCGGAAACCGCACAATTCTTTTATTTCGCAAAAAAGACTGCAATCAGTTCCTTACCTTGGCCTAATCTGAAGAGATCTGAATGGGTCCGGTTCTGCTCACCCAGACTGCACGCAGATATTTCAGAAAAATTGGGAGATGCTTTCACTGTAAAAGTAAACATCCAGTGTCATTTTATTTAGGAAATTAGAGAATAAAGGAAATATCAGAACACTCGATGAAAGTGTCTCATTCATTAACTAATTTTCTGAGAAATTAACTTTGCAGAACACCATTGGGTTATAAACTTAGCAACATTCCAATTTAGCTAAATAAGCTGCAGTTGATTTTGAACTGACATTAATTAAATTGCATGCCATAATTCCCCAGATTTTACTTTTGAACAGTTTCAGCATTTATTACCGTATGGTGTTGGTGGTGAGACAGGAAATGCCGGTGTGGGAGGAACGACTTCACCTCCGTTCCCAGAGGAAGAACTCAACATTCTGCCATCCACCTCATCATGTCCAACGTTGTATCCCGGCATGCTTAGCTACAGTGCAGCAGAGGAGATATTCCATTAGTACAGCCAAGATTTACACTGCACATCATCAATATCACCAAGAAATCTTGGAATACTAGTTCCGTTTCAAAGTGTAAATCAGTTTTGGTCCAACGTGAACTGACATGAATGAGCAGGAAATAAGTTCATTCACGAACAAATATGTCTTTCTGTTTATTGCTAAAATTTAAAAACAGTGACCTGTGAGGTCAATGGTACCATCGGTGAATCTCGTTCATAACAAAGTGTGTTATATGATCATTACTTGACTTCATGTCCAATTTTACACATTTTTTAAAAAATGGCCTGTTAAAATGAGCATTTAGGTTTATTTTTAATAAAGTATTCAACTTCGCTCATCAGCACATCCTTTTTATTTCTAAAACCAAAATATAATTGTGTACTTGACATCCATGTATGGATAGCTCCATGAAGGGTCACTGAATAGCCCCCAGGCAGGTGAACCTGGGGCAAATTGACATTCCCTAGCCTGAGGATATTGAGATTCAGTGAGGTTCAAATCTCTGTATTTGCAACAGATTCCTAAATATTGAAACCTAGCGGTAACCAGATGTTTATCTCAATGACCCGTGGGAATCCAATCTTAGCATAGCCTGACGCAACAGAACAGAATAGTTTCCATAGGTCAGTTCAATGCTAGGATTGGTGAGATGCTAGTCCAATTATTGGATATATTTCAATTTCACATTCTATTGGGACGTACCGCATTTTCCATCACAATGTTGTTCCCAGTTGCGATCAGCTAACTTATTGCAGACTAAGAACAACTTGGAACCTTCCTGATCTGTATAATTCAGTTCCACACCACATAATGTATTTGTTCACTGAGACATCTAAGGAGCAGGTTTAGTATTTAAAGGATTTCCAAGTCAGTACACTTAATACCACACCATTATGGGAGGGAGTAAGGAAGGAATACATCGGATCAGACTGTAGACGATGCAGCATTTTAACAAATTCAGTCACCATCATTGTAGTGATTTCTGGTTTGCCTCTTTTCATTTGCAGTTTTATTGTTGCTTCTATGCTTTGAGCTGGGCTGAGTAAACTCACAAACTAAGCCAGCCCCTCAGAAAGATATTTCCCTGAGCGAAAAAGAAGAAAAAGCACAGGCAAGTCAGCTCATGCAACTCTCAGCTGCCTGGTAAACAGCATCCCTGGAGGAGACCAAGGAGAAGTTGTCTAACTGACCTTGGGCACCTGAGGGAAATTTATTTTGGAGTGAAAATAATGTTTCAATGAAAAGTTCTACTAAATTGACACTCTCAGAAATCTGAGGTGTAGCCACAATAGGAAAAGAAAATAAGTGCATAGCTTGCGCCAACAGTCATGAGAAATAAAATATCACAATAATTTAAAAAGATTAAAACATCAGTTTCCTGGAGAAGAATAATTCAGAGGCCTGAAATTTTTTAAGGTCCTAACTTAAAATCACTGTCCAAATTTAGAGACGGTGCAAAATTTCTAAATGGGGTCTTTTTAATAATTGCCTAAAATCAAAATTGAGACCGAATTAAGAGTTTTTCAAAATCCTACAGCACCTTACATTTTATGGCTAAGACCATGCAAAATTTCAGGCCTCATAACCAGCCCTGACAATCTAAAGGACTGTGTTTCTTCCAATGTTTAACTTACCTCCCTGGGCTGCCCAGGTGGGCTAAATGGTGCAGTACTGGTGAGATGACGGAAGTCAGAGGATTTGAGCCATCCAGACTGGTTGTACATCAGGCGGTTATCATTTTGCTCATATTGTCCAATACTTTGTTGTCTTGTCCTTCCTAATGTCATGTGACCATTTGCAGATTGCAGACCTGTGTGCAAAGCAAAGCATTAATCTCAGATCCATTCTATCCAAACTAATCAGAAATGGCCAGAACAAAAATCTCGCTGGAATTCCTATTAAGTCTTTGTTGCATTTCACCTTGTGAAGCTCATGCATACCACAGATCACTGAACTCTAAATATTTTCAAATATTTAAGATGTGCGTCAGGGAACAATTAAATAAACGATTCATCAGAATAAGTACTCAATACCTCGTACAGCTCTCAATCCAAAATAGGGAAGTCAAAAACCATTTATAAACAGATTCCAAGTACTGTGTAAAATATTTTTTTTCTAGATCTGAACTTGTTACAGGTAGGATCGTCGTTCCTCTGTCATTTAAGTTAAAAAAAACAATGCAATTTGTTTATCCCCAAACTGCGAGAAGACATCCCAAAGTGCTTCACAGTAAAACTGTAAAGGGCAGTGGCTGTATATTTTTTTTGTGGGTGAACGCAGTAGCCAACTTGCATACAGTAATGTCCCACGAACAGCACTGAAGCGAAAAACCAATTTTCTTTGGGCTTGCCATTGTTGGCGAGGACACTGGGAGAAATTCCCTTCTCTTTTTGAAGAGTGCCGTGGGATATTTAACGTCCACCTGAACAGGCAGATTGGGCCTTGTTTTAATGTCCCATGTGAAGGACGGCACCTCCAACAGTAAGCACACCACAACGCTGTATAGGAGCATCATCTTAGATTATATGAGGTCCAGGTCCCGAAGTGGGGCTTGAACCAACAATTTTCCGACTCCGGGGTAAGAATGCTGAGCTAGGCTGATGCACTAATTGAACCTCCCCAGTAATTCAACATTCTTCTGCCATTTCTTCTGGGCACAAATTATTGGNAAAAAACAGACACAGTTACAACTGTGGAACATGACCTGCTGTTCCTCAAAGAAAAACAAATTTTATGTACTATGAGATCAGTGAGAGCAGTATTCAGAGATAATACCACAAAACATTTCACTTATATTGCATCTTTCATAGAGGGTGAACACCCCAATCTATATTTAACATGTATATGATAGGGAGCTGCAATGACCCTGCATTTTTGTGGATATTGGTGGGATCACTACCCCCTTGAAGTATTGAGCCTGCAGACTATTTAAGGATTTACACGTCCTCAATAGTCTGAAAGGAAGCAAGATGGGAGTCCCTCATGCTTGTTGGGCTGAGGTAAAATAAATGCTTAACTTTTACTTGGAGTGTGGATTAACTCCTTACACCAATAAGACAGTTAACGAGAACCCTTCCCTTATACACAATAGAGCACAGTATTACGAGAAATAAGAAAGAATTAAGGTGGGGTGACCAAAGTCACTGTTGAGGAGACATATTCTCAATATGTTTTTTGAAACCAAGAGAGAGAAGCAAAGTGAAAAGATTTTGGTGAAGAGTTCCAGAGGGCAAGAGCATAGTGTCTGAAGACGCAGCTTCCAATGGTAGGGCGGAGGAGTGAGGAATGAGCAGTCGCCCAGAATCAGATCATTAACACAAAGGATGAAAGGTAACAAAGTGCTCTTCAAAGGCACCGCTGTAGAAAGCAGCTTCAAAGAATGGGAGCTTTGTTCCAGTACGCTTCATTTCAGAACATCTGTCATTGCCAGCTAATTGCTTTGCATAACTTTCATTGTGTAATTTGGACAGTACAAATTAGTTAGTTATTGACCTGCTCCCAATCCTGTCTCATCCTCCCTCTTGGTTTCGGAACAACAGCTTGGGTTTCAGTGGTAAGAAATCCATCTTACAACAAAAAATAGTAAGTTGCTACAATTTTATTCAAGAGACGGTAGTTTGTTCAGCTTTATAAATGAGCAGCATTTTAACTCATAAAATAATGAAGCAGTGAGTGCGATCCAACGGAAAGTGGGTGATATTTCAATCGTCCAAAATCTAGCTTTTTGATTATTTCCCTGTTTTAAAAAAAAACTTAGCTCATTATATACCTCATCTCACTCATTCCATCTCTGGGTAACAAATGTTGTAAACCTGTTGCATACCCTGAACACTGAAGGGGGCAAATCATCTTATTCCTCCTGAGGGCTGAATGGTCTTCTTACAATCAACATTTTGTGAACAACGTCTGTATCCTTGGCGATACTCTCTTCTTTTTTCAAATATTGACATGGGATCTTTCATTTTTCTTGGTCAGCCAGGTGTCTGACCCATGTGGAAACCCATCACTGTGCTTAAGAGTATCCAAACCAAGCTGAGATTTCATGCATCCCAAATACACAAGGAAATCCCAGAGATAGATTGTTGGAATGGAATGCGCACTCTCTCTCTGGAGGGACACATCCTGCTTATCTAATTCCAGAAAGTGATAGCCGCAGGTTAGCAAGAGCCCAGAGGGTGTGTTGTGGTACTGCTGGAGTCTAACCAGTTAAAACTGCATAGCTTGGCATTGATATTGCTGTCTGGCAAGTTTTCCTGCTGCTTGTCCAGTTAGGACCACCCTACCCATTAAGGCTTTGGCTTGCAGGGTTAACAGGAGGTGAGTGGGATGACTCCCTGGCCCCAGTGACTGGCCTGCCTTCCAGGTCCTACCAAAGAGCCAGCCAGCCTGCTGTGCTATAATCAGCAGTGCCCTGGAATACTGCGGACCTGCCCGGCTCAGAAACCAAACTACCAAGATCACCACAGAGAGCTGTTGCCAGGCATGTCACCTTGGAGCCTGTTCAGCTCAAAGGAGACCCTGGTTACCTCCCCCCAAGGAGGATAGTTATTTGAACAGGCAGACAGGGCATTGGTTTAACAATCTCATCTGAGGGACGACATTTTCAACAGTGAGCACATCTACAGCACTACATGCGGGTGTGGGGGCGAGGGCGGTGGAGGTGGCTGTAAGCACGGTCGAAGAGGAAGGTTTCTAGGCGGGACTTAAAAAAGCAGAGAGAGGAGGCAAGGTGGAGGGATTGAGGGAGAGTGTTCCAGAGCGTAGTGGCTGAAAGCACAACCTCCGATGGTGGGGCAGAGGGTGCGAGGGACGAGCAGGAGGCAGGTGCCAGTCGAGCGGAGGTGCCGGGTGGTAGATTGGGGTGTGAGGAGGTCAGAGAGGTAGGGAGGTGCCAGAGAGTGAAGGGATTTGAAGAGGTCTCAAAGTGTTTCACAGAATATATTGTAAAGTGAACTGACTGAACATTTTGTGGGAAAAACGCATCAGTCAATTGCGCACAGGAGTGTCCCACAAACAGTTGTGGATTGAAGTGACCAATTTAGTATTATTATTATTTTTTGAAGGAACTATTACCCCCGGAAAAGCAATCTACCAATCAACTAACAACCGGGTTCCTACTTACTGCTAGGTAAACAGAGGAGTGTGGAGTAAGGAAACTTGCCCAACATTTTGCCCTGCCGGGAAACAAACCCAGGTCTTTTTCTTACAAGTGCTCTAACTACTGAGCTACAGGACTCCGCAAAGGTGAGTTATTGCACACTGTTACAAAGGCGATACGGTCGCTCTGAGCTGCTTTTAGCAACCTGGCAACTGTGCAACAGGAATTTTCCTGACAGTGTGGAAGGAAGTCCATCTTTCAAAGGTAGGTCTTATATTGGACTTTTATAGTATTATAGACGCACAAAGAGAGGCAGAGTGAGAGACACAGATAGTGAGAGGCAGAGGCAAGAGAAAAAGGTATAGAGTGAGACAGGGAATCAGAGAGACAGAGTAAGTGAAGAGCTGGCACCCTGTTGGTTGAGTGACAGTAAACTTCTGTCAGTAAAATGGCCCTTTTCACATTGAATAAAATGTTACCTCTAAATGTAGAGTTAATTTGGTTAATAAACATAGCCTATACTTGGAAAATTCACTGTTCTGTGAATCCACTGATGAGCAGAAAGATTTAATAGCCACTGTTACTGGAAAATAAATAAGTCATTGCAACCAGCTCTCTTTTCGGCTGACTTAACTTCATCATGGTGGCATTTGTCCAGAGTTGCTGTTTAGATTTGGAAAAGCTCCTAATGTTCTGAGGCAATTTTTTGTACACACAGAAATAAAATTCTAGTAGTCAGAAAAGGTGAAAAGAGTGCAATTCGCATCTATAAAGAGTTTTACTTCTCTCTCTCTCCAGACCAGAGGTTCAATCCTACTTGGGGGTTTGGTCTTGTGTCTACTTCTGGATAATTAAAATGTTGCAAATGAAGAAGTAAGTCAAGGGTTTCAAATCAGCCATTTATTTAGCACTCAAGTGAAGGAAAAACAGCCAATCCTGGGACTTTAGCAACTGTAACACAAACAAAAAGCAGTACTGAAATTATTGCAGTAAATGAAGGCAGGACCTAACTGAAGCAACATAATCAAAGATCTACATTAAACGGCAGAGTACTGCACTAGACTAGTGTCAGAATCCACTTCAGTGAGAGTTATTCAAGGACATACGCAAACAACATATTCTCAGTCTGGGTTTAATTGTCCTATTATACTGAATATGTCCATCGTCGCCACTAATTCTGTAAAACGTAGTCAGTAAACTGCTACAGACATAATGCTGTAAGATACAACAGGTGGTTGTGAAATATGGGTACTGGCACAGTTCATAAAAGCTCCAGTGGGTTTTCAAAAGAAGAATGCAACAGATGTAAATGGCATTGATATTCAATGCAAAACAGGTAGAAACAGTGTGTCTGCAAATTAAAATAAATGTTATGTTAATTGGAAAATAAAACTCCTTGCCAGGCTCCACATTTCACAACAAATTGACTTCAAGAAGCTCACCCTCACCAATAAATTCCTTTATTCCTCCCAGTACCTCCCCATCTCTGTGACCTTCTCCTACCTCCCACTCTTCTGCTCCACCTCTCTGCTCTGTCAACTCAGGCTAACTGCATGTCCACCACTACCTCTGCTCCACCAAATCTTCAGCTACTACATTGCTAACTTCTGGAACACTCTGTCTGCCTGCATCCCTCCATACCAACCCCTCTCCATTCATCTTTTAAATCCCACATAAAAACCTCTCTTCGTCCGCACCTATGGTCATCTCCC